CTTTCGAACGTTCCACGTCTGAAGAACGAACTAAATTCCAGCAACGATTGCTTATCTATGTTACTTAAGTTGCCGTTGTACTTGTAGAGAGGCTCGCAGTGCGGCAATTCCGAGCAGACCTGTATCAGCCGTCGTAAATATTCCTCTAATCGTTTCCTACGTTGTCGAGCCACAACCTCGTACCTTGGGAAAACTTGTCGCGGTGGGAAGCGTATTGCTGCTACCTGTGCAATTGAAACGTATAAAGCTTGTGAAACAATTTCACGGAAGATTTTCTTCTTCCTACATTTTTATCTTCTTTTTTTTTTTTTTTTTTTTATTTTAGGAAAATGTTTGACGAAACATACAAGAGATCATGATCGTTTACCCGTTTGAGAAACAAAATACCTGGCAAAGAATATAGTCAAAAAGTTTCACTTACCTTACTACCATACTTCTGTCGCATAGAAATATACAATTCACGAAATCGTCTGTATCTACGTAAAAGCGTCCAACTGTCGTCCTGCGCCACAACACGTACCTCGTATTCGTAATGGCTGGACGTGCCGGCCCCGCGTATCACGTAAGAAGGTATACTGACGATCACGTTGATCACACTGTCGTGGTCGGCGTCGTTTGCTATCAAAGACGGCAAAGACCTTGTGATTGTCAGGGAATACGGGCTACTCAAACGATCACCCCTATTTTGACTCTAAAACGAGAAGGTGAAACATATAGCAAGCATAACTTCCATACGTCTACAATTTACGGATCACTCCCCTATTTATTACATATTATTAAATTACCGTTAAATACACCGTTGAATATCCTCTTGCCGATGATATTCGAGGCGCAACAGATTCTGATAGATTTTCCTCGCCGTTGGTATTAGGCCTGTGATTCCTGAGAATTGGAGATCGTGTTGTGGCCACGGTCAACAACGTTGCCGAATTGGTCGTGGGATCTACGCCACGGCACGACGTTAGTTGCGTTTCTACAGTTTGTGCGCATGTATCATTCGCATCGTCAGCCGCCAATCTGTCATCTAAGCCACACTGCGACACCGACTGTTGCTTCAGATTTTTCCGCTCGTCCTCCAGCAACGAGACTTCTAATTCAATCTGTTGCTTCTGAAGGTCTTGCAAGATCGCGATTTGTCTGTTCAGATCTTCTTTCGAGGGCGTGCTGGCCTCCAGGCACCTCATCACCATCATTCGTTGACGAGCGATTCTTTGGTTCAGTCGTTTCATCGCTGGATTTCGTTGCATTGGCGACTCCAGCGAGTCCTCGGGAATATCCTCCTCCACGACGGAACTCGTCGGCGACTTTGACTCAGCTTTCTCACCGCTGGCGCTGCCATTGCACTTTCCCGACTTGGCGATCGTGTCTATCGAGGATCTCCTGCTTAAGTTCAACAAACTTCGGCTCTCTGCTGCTTCACAGAGTTTAGCCCTGTCGTTCTCCAAGTGGACTTCCGGAGAAGGTTTCTGCTGCTTGTTGTCAGGTTCCTTTTGTTTATCGTTGTCGCGTCTCTGTTGCGACGTCTGCGACTCTTTCGTCTCGAGATCTTCGAATGGGATCCGAGGTTCGGGCGAGTCGGCCGCGGCCGTGTGAAAAGTGTCCGCCGTGTCGATGGAACTTGGAACGTTTTGTGGCAGTAGGCTCAAGGCAGAAGCTATCTGAAGCTTTCTGTTGCATCTGTCCTGAAACGACTGAGTGTCCCCATTGTGAAGAACCTCGTCGCCGCTCAACGAATGATCACCTGGCAACGCAGGCAACGCACGCTTCAAATTTAACGAAAGACTCTGCTTTCTTCTCAGGATCTCCTGCAGCTGCTCCTGGCTCCGTTTCGCCAGCAACAACTTCTTCTCTGTGTTTCCTTCTTCCTCGAACTAAAAAAAAAAAAAAAAA